GAGTTTGGTTTGCACTGCAAATAGTCCTAAAACCCAAATTGAACTCTTTAGTTTAGTGAAAACATTCAAAGATGACAAAAAAAAAAAAAAAAATCATCAAATGTATGAACGTTTTGCGTGCCATATGTGGTGTTCTCATCAATGCCTTAAATGTCCAAAACTCAGAAAAATAATATGGGGTGCATACAAAAGTGTAGGATATGCAATGAACTTTTTCAATCCCAGTAATCAAGGTTCATATGTATTGCTTTTCAAAGGACAATGTCTTTCTTTGAGATGTCCTAGATGAATTCGTGAAACTTTGGCTCCATTTGGAAGGAGTACAAATACAAATACAAATATGTAAACTGCAAAATCTTGTATTTTGTATTAATTTTATATATATTTGTACTATACATATTTGTATCTGTACTCCTTCCAAACTGAGCCTTTAAAGCAAATCAAAGTGTATTTCCCCCTTTGAATTGTATGATACACAATTTTTGCTTAAACGTTGGCAGTAATTTGAAGATTTTTACGGGTTGAATGACCTAACTGGTAAAATGATCACAGTGAGCTTCCCAGTTTTTTGTCCCATCAGGGTCTGGTATGTTATTGTCATCATTTCCTTGTATTTGCAATTGGTTGGAATGCAAACTATTTGGGTGCAAATTCTGATTCATTTTTGTTTCAAATTTACTTCATTTAGTTTGATTGCAGTACAAATGAAATAAAATGACCTGAAATTCAAAACAAAATTAAATCAAAATTGCACTGCAACCAAAGGCGGCCATAGGATTTCTTATGAGCAAGCACAGCAAATTAATCCAACGGATATAGGTGAGTTTTCTTAGGATTAATTCACTCCATAAGGCTCAGTTTGAATGAGTACGAATACAAATATGCCCAGTGCAAATACATACAAAATACAAGGGTTTACACTATATTTTTGTATTTGTACTCTTTCCAAACTGAGCCTTTTGGAAGGAGTACAAATACAAATTTGTAGAGCAAAAAACCTTGAATTTTGTATTATTTTGTATGCATTTTCACTGTATATTTTTATATTTATACTCTTTCCAAACTGAGCCAAAGTTTTTTTCTCACAATAGTGTTGGCTTTAACAAAAGATGCTAAAAATGACTTGATCGAAGGCCAAAGGCCGGTGTAAGTTGGGTAACCGACTTCAATGAAAACACAGAACTGGGCCTGGACCCCATGGCAGGCCCATTCAAGTTTTGAGAAATGCTTAACCCAAGCCCACCTAAGCAAGCAACCTGATCATGACTTGCCTTGGAAATCAAGTTACAATCTTAACAACAACTAACTTCATAATTGCAAATTTTGTGAAAACAAGTATTTATTTCAAGGAGGTAGGGAAGAAAGCTGAAGAAAATGGGAGCTTATAAGAAACCACAAATTGTATAACCAATACATTAGGCTCAGTTTGGAAGGAGTACAAATACAAATATGTAGAGTGCAAAACCTTGAATTTTTTATTACTTTATATGTATTTGCACTGTACATATTTGCATTTATACTCCTTCCAAACTGTGCATTAGTTTTCATGCCAAAAATTTGAAGTGAAAGGATACGGTTTCATGCCAAAATCAAAAGGTTCATAAAATGTGAAGAATGGTGAATTGACTAGCAACTGAATATCATCCACTGCAGCTGGCTGTTATTTTTATGTACCCTTAACACCAAGACGAGGGTTTGAGGGAGCCCTTCTTAGTTCCGTTTGAAAGGACTGGACTGGTTAGCCCCACATAAACAGCCTATAAGCTATATTTGGTGAAAAAATCATGAGCCCAAATTTGGTTATCAATGAGTCATTTGAAGGGCCATCTGCTTCACCCTCTTTTAAAAGCTTATCTACAGCTCCTTCTTCAATGCAGTTTGACCAGTTTAGTTGAATCTTCAACTCAACCCTCCCAAACAGGTCCTTAATCCTTATGCGTCTTCAAAGAGTGGATCAGCTGTATTTCATGAAAATGATCATTCTTAGTGGTGCAAGTTGAGTCACGTTTTGCCAGATTGAGATCAACCTACCCAGCCCAAGTTGTAGTAGGACTGGAGTTTTGGGATTGGATTAATCCAATTTCTTCACTTTAGTTCGCTAAAACATTTTTTATTTCTTAAGACTTAAAATTGATGGGTCAAGGTTTACAGATTTTAGAATTATTATATGCACAAGACAAAGCTATAGTGATTTAGAAATATTATACTTATAATACTTGCACATTATATAAAAACATTTGATGCTGCGCAATCTGGCTGCTCCTAACTGGTGGTGGCTTAGCTTCCAGTAGGCGACGGACGTGGAGAATCTGTACAGAAAGAATCAGAGAACCCGGGGGGCTTATCCGGCGAGGTCGCTCCGATGCTTAAGTCAGTACGTGCGAGCTGAGAATAATTAGAGAGCAAGAGAGCTATTAAGCAATAAAATGCGCGTACCTTTGGACCCCAGGAGGGAGACCTTTATATAATGGAGTCCTCGCGGGCTCTACAGAGTAGTTCCATGATCTTTGCCATGATAGAGTTTGTTTCTGTGTTATCTGGAGATAACGTTATCAGTTGATAAGGCTAATCACTTTCGCCCGAATCGGACGGGGAGATAATGCTTAGTTGTTGCAAGACGTGATCCCGTAGAATTCGGGAACCGTTGGAGAGACTTTCGGGATTGCGTTGAGGGTAGATCGGTATACCCGAGCTGGTTTCTACCTCGAACTGATGTTCTCAAGCTAAGGGTCGTACACCCCAAACTGAATTATGAATTGATGTCGCGACCTGGTACTGAGGTGCCCTTACCTCGGGATGAGTACCGAGGTGCTCTTAGCTCGGGATGATTTCAGCTCGAAGGATCCCTATCTCGGGGTAGTGGAGTCTACTTTGTAGCGAGTTGGCTATGCCGAGTTGTCTCCTATGCCGAATCACATCCACGTGTCCCCTTATTATGAAGTCAAGCCAAATCACCCTCCATCACCATTATTGGAATAATATAATTTACAAAACGAGTAATTAAAAATACCATTGATTCTTCTTCCTCCATATGAGTTGACTGATTCAGATTGTATAGAAAAGACGAGCAACATCAATGAGATGGGATAGATCTGGAAGCTTGCGTGGCCTAATTAGATTGGCATGAAAATGAAATGAAAGTCGGTCGAGGATCTTTTTAAGGGCTCTCTCTCTCCCCCTCTAATTGTGTCACCTGAAACTCGGTTAGACTCTAAGAATAGAATGTACAATACAAAATAATATAAAATATAAGATTTTACACTCTACAAATTTGTATTTATACTCCTTCCAAACTGAGCTTTGGGGATCTTTTATAAGGGTATTCTTTGATACTCTACAGATTTGTTTTTATACTTCCAAACCGCAGCCCTCGGGTTCTTTTTTAAAGGGAGGTGAAGGGATATCTGACAATATAAGAGATGTTAACGAGAATGCTTTTACTTTCGTTTGTTATTGAAATTACCACATCAACAAAGAAAAATGTTCTTTAATATGTTTTCCAAACCATCAAAATGGTGATGGTTTCTTAACCAAAAAGAGACTTTGTAGTATAAAAGTACAAAATTTTTGGAATATGCTAGTAAATAACAATATTAAATCATGTTATTCAATTCAGATTTAAAATCATGTTTCTGGTCTTAGTTCTGACAACAAAAACCATATACCATGGTTTTCAAAACCGGATCGGACCAAAAAAACCGCTAACCAGAGCCCCCAGGTCCGTTTTTGCTAAAAACTGGAATTTGTTAGAAAACTGGAATTGCTAATGAGGGGTCGTCGCTAGAAATTCCTTAAGGTCCCCTGGGCAAGTTGATTGCAGGTATGTATTAGATTACAAATTTGATGCCGGATTTATCGTTGGTGACAATTGAATGAAAATCTCACCTTGTAGAACTGCAAATTGTTGGGCAGAACCGGATGAATGACCAAGTTGTGAAGAGATTCTCTCGCACTAGCTCAACTGTAAATACACTCGGCTGATTCAGATTATATTGTATAGAAAACAGTGTAGAGGTCACATTGCCCTCATCAAATATTGCCATAGCCACCATACATAGAGATATGATTATATGAATGCCAAGAGATGGGTACAGAGTGTTTGAATGAGTTTGACTGTATTCAAAGTGGGTACCTCCTGATCTTATTCTATACTGATAGAATTATAGAGGGAATCTCATTACATGTTCTTGCTTACATGTTGTTTTCTATATTTTTTGAAAAATTCTGTATTTTTTGGAAATTTCTCTACTTTTTGTATTTTCTGTGTTTTATTATTTTTATTTTTTTCATATGTTCTTCTTTTTCCTGTATTTTTTATGTATTTTTTGTATTTTATTTAAATTTCGATGGTATTTTTTATTATATATAAATATTTTTTGTTTTTTATTTATTTATGACATCACGGGTCAAACCGTTCAAGCCGGACGGTTGAACTGCCAAACTGGAAAACAGTGCCCTATACATTACCACCAACATGCTTTCTGTGAGATTTTGTTTTAAGAACCAAATAGTTTTCAAACCAGCTGGTTTTGTTTTGTCTGGAACTGGCGACCAAAAAACAAACAATTCACATTAGAGAAATCTCCCTCACCCCCTAGTTTACAGCAACAGTTAGGCACAAGCTTCAAGCAACCGTAATGGAAAGAATTGATATAACATGCCTCGAAAGAAAGTGCGTTCCACAACATTGGCCCCATGTTATTTATCAATAAATAAATAAAACAAAACAAAACAAAAAACATTGGCCCCATCTCAGTGAGGTGAATTTTACAACAAAATCAGTGTTTCTTTTGACATCCATTTAGCAAGAGTCGATATTCGGTCAGTTTCGCTCAGTCTGCAAGAACGAAACCTACCAGAGAACAAGAAATAGATGTCTGGTTTCATCTAATGCAGAAGGCAGTAAAATACTACACTTGCACTACATTCTAGTCCGATGATATCCAATGCAGGAAGCAGAAGTAAAGACAACGCACATTCAAACAGCCCACCAACACCCAGAAAGAAGCACACTGCTCTTTAATGAGAAATAATCAAATACGAAATAACTACTGAAAGAAAGGGAAAACAGGACGAAACAAAAAATAATAATAATAAAGAGTTGAGTAGCACATAAATTCTAAACCTGTAAATGTAAAGATGTATTTAAATAATCCGGTACAATTATGACACATCATATTATATGGGTATTGCGAGCATCATCAACTAAACGAGGAAAAAAACCGACCGCCAAACAATGGTAACCCAAGACCCTTTCGTCTTATTGAACAAACCGCAAATTAGAACACACTCAAATCGATCTCCAGGATTAGGAGATGGGCAAGGCCCAAGGATCCTCACCTTTTAGTTTATGATTGAATTCAGCTGTTGGATCCTAATCTACAGTTCAAATGATGGAGTGTTCCTACAAGCAAGCACTCACATGAAATCATAGTCATCAAGAGCATCATAAGTATCGACGACAACATCGTCTACTTGCTTCTCGATATGAAGCTGTTTCTTTTTGACACCTGAACAAATAGACACAGAACACAATTAGGAAAAAGACCAATCTGCAAGTAACGAAAAAATGAAGACATTTGAAGAAATCCCACGAATGGCGCACTAGTGACAAATTCAATCAATGTCATAGTGGGCCTGCCTAATCAGATAACTTGATAATAGATATCAGATAACCTATTTACCCAAACTTTGTCACAACCACATTTGCTTCCCATTCTGAACATGGATACGACATTTTTCCACTGGTGTACCTTAATTTTTTTACTCAAGATTCAGAAGTATGACCAACATGCTTACCTGTTTTCTTTTTACCCGCATTGGCTTCTTTCTCTGCCTTGAGCTTTTCATTTGCAATTGCTGTGATAGATGAAGCAACCTCTTTTGCATCTGCTGCTTTCAGAGCTGTCATTGATAGTCTCATTACTGTTTTGAGGAGGGTTATGTAATGGAAACTCTTCTGAAAAAGTAGAACACAATTGACTCGTGAATCCCATATCTTTCATTATCAATTAACAGAGATACAGAAAAGTAATACACACAAACCTCATATGGCCGCAGTTTATAAGAAACAAGCTCTGCATATTCTAAGAAGTCATTTTCAGATTTGGGGATGAAATTATCAAGTGTCTTCTCATCACCCCTCTTAGCAAAGAGTTCTGTTGTGGATTTGTAGTCCGCTTCTTCCACAAGCCTGACAGAAATACAGACATCATGAGCTCTTGGTTCATTGATTTGATCAAATAATACCGTTATGATTGAGAGGAAGTAGCAGTATCTACTCAAAACATTAAAAGTCAGTATCTGTTGAATCAAAAGTTGACAGCAAATCAACAACTCTCTTTATTATGAGCATTCTATTCCATCTCTACTTACAAAAAATCAAGACAATAAGCCTTGGGATATGAAGGGCATTGCTTGGAAAAATAGAAACATGTATCACATTAGGCATAGAGAAGTACATCATAAAGTACTACAATTTTTTCCATTTAGAGTTTTAAAAGCCACCCTAACAAATGGCTGCATGAATGCCGAAGCTGTGAGGTGCAAGTCCATGGCAATTGCAATTTGCAACATGCTGGGCTGCTGACATAAATAATACACCTTTTGATTCCCACGTCAAAATTGATATGATCTTTGTATGCCGTTGTAATGTTGAAGCTAAAAGGAGGAATGGAGGAACATCCCAATAAAAGTGCCTTGGGAGTTCGAAACTTAAGCTACAAAACAGGACAAAATGACAAAATTTTGACAATATACATTGTTCAGGCATATTACATATACAAGGACAAATGCATAAGTTGATTTAAGGGCTCAAACTTTAACAATGGATATGGCACTGAACAAAATGAAATGGAAAAACAGGATTCATGTAACCAACCCCATATAGTTGGGACAAGGCTCAGATGATGGTGATGATAAGCCAGCACTACATCCATATATATTTGCTGTGGTTATAGATCTACTAACTAGACATTCACAAGAGGTGGTCCCATGATGTTTTAAATGCAAAGCTAAGAACAATGGAGAAATGCTTTAGAGTAAAACAAAATACATGTATTGCAATTCTAGTAAAATATTAGTCACAATTTGGGTGCAGTTAAAGTCATTATCAGGAGTTACCCCAAACTAACCACTTCCGGTACCTTGGATCATTCAACCATAATAAGGGAGAAATTAAAGAGGATGTAGTCTTAAGCATCATAGTTAGAGCTAGAGATGCACCTAGTTAGTCATGCAGTCAGTGTGGCTCTTAGTTGACTAGGTTGTTAATCATTGGTCAACTAGCCGACCAAACCAATGCTTAGCCATCCCAAGTATAACCAGATGATTGGTGAAGTCGTTAGTATGGCTCTCAGTTGACTAGTAGATGATTAGTAACACTTTGGTGACACTATTTTTCATTGTTGGTAACAGGGAAAGAATAGAGTTGATTAGCTGTTAAGAAAACAATAAGCAAGAGAACAGGCCATAAGCAGCACCACAATATAAAATGTCATTCCTCTATTTTTTTCTTTCTAGTAACTAAAAAATTATGCTACATTAATATAAGAAAAAGAAAATTAACCATAATAAAAACTATTCTATAACCATAGGATCACAAAGAAAAAAATAGGATGGTATACTCACAACACCACCATCCTATTAGAGTTAATATTAAGTTTGAAGAGCATCTCTCAGATTGATATGCACTAATCTGTCCAAGTTTCCCAACTGTCTACTTTTTCTCAACCTATAAAAGCCAATTCTCAATAACAGAAACCTAATCCAGATCAAGGGATGGTTCAATTGAGTGAATATCAAATTCAACAGATTGATTATTTTTTGTACAAGATCAAGTAATCAACTACAAATAAGACCCTCCAATACGGATAAGCTTGCAGCTCATCATATATTTTCTCTTGTGCCACTTATATGATTCAATCATAACTTGAATTGTCAATCATTAATTAGGAACTTGTCCTTTCCTTTCTATGTGTTTTTTATGCAACTTTATACCTTGATCTTTATTATCAATAAAAATAAAATATATTGAAACCGAATGGTAAATGTGCATGTAATCAAGGGGTTGTCAGTGTCAGTTCTAAATGCTACTTTTTTTACCACAATGATCATATATTTTTCCTTGCACCGATTATCAGAACTTGAATTGCCTGTCATCATATTGGAAACTTGTCCTTTTACTTCTAATATATGTGTTCTGTATAAAATTTTATACCCTGATTTCTATTATCAATCAAAGATAAATATATCAAAGTACAATATTAAATGCATGTAATAAAGGTGTTATCAATGTCAGTTATAAATGCTACTTCTTAGAACTCAAATTCATGCCTAAAATACTAAATTTCTCCAAACACAAGACACATGCATAAAATAGCTGTATGTCCAAATGAGAAACAAAACAGCAAAGAATTTTACCTTTGTTGTCGAAGCTTTTCAGCAACAGGATCCAAGGGCTCTTCGACTTTTACTTCTGCAGTTTTTCCCTTATTTTCACTAGGCTTTACTGCCGATTTTTTTGGGATCTTTTCCACAGGAGGTTCTGGTTTAGGTGCCTGACCACACAATTTTGAAATATAAAATAAAACCATCACGAGTGCCAATCTTTTTAAAAAATTATGGTCTTGCAAACAATATGTGCTAATCACAATGCAACCTCACAAAAATCTATAGCATTGCAGTGGCTTAGTCCAAAACTAGCATCACCAAAGATGTGAAACAGTGGTGGCTTCGCAATGACAATAATAGCAAGGATGCTACAATCCCAATGTTACACTTCCAGCTCATAACAAACATAGTGAAAATGCAATTATTCGACAAGCACCAAGAACAACATGGTAATCAAGGCAGCTAGGCAAGAGTAGGTAACAGGGTACCCCACCTTATAGAATACTTACTTAGGCAGTGGTTTTCTTGACAGATAAGACCTATAATTACTAAAGTATAATCCATGTAGAGAGGTCCTGTAACTTCAATTAATTGTTATTTGACATTGGAAAACACTAAAAGGAAAGTCAGTAATAATGATATTTTCATATAAAGCAGCAAGGCACATAATATTAGGTAATGCTATCATCATCATATAAGCTTTATCCCAACCATATGGTATCAGCTACAATATCCTGTTTTTCCATGCCATTCTATTCATTGTCATATCTCCTTCAAAAAAAATGCCCTTTTCGCCTGCCCCTAGCTCTTCTAGCCCCTTCAACTTGTAACAGGTCATTTCCTTCTTATTAGTGCTATAGTAGTCCTGCATGCACGTGTCCAAACCACATTAATCTACTATCCCTCATTTTACTACCTCTTGGAGATACTCCAAGTCTCCCCCAAAGAAATTCATTTCTAGTCTATCCTTTCTAGCATTCCCACTCATCTATCTCAACATTCATAGTTCTGTTACTCATTTTTGGATATGTTTCTTGCGCCCAATACTCTGCTCCATATAACATTGCTGTCCTTACATTCAGCAAAAGCAGAAAAGAACATTTAAAATCACAAATTTCCATATTACAATAATTCAAAGAAATAAGACAAACAAAAGCAATAGCACAGTTAATTGAAGCAAATAAATAATGGACAACATATTTATTTAAAAGGTGGCCCCAGAAGGCACTGTAGCAAGTATATGCAAAAAAGGCAAGATATAAAAGGGGCCTCCAGAAAATGTGTTCTAGATAGTTATGCAAGATTGATCATAGCCTCATAGATGCCCATATATATTGTATTGGTTTAAGTGCAATTGAGAGAATATTGGATCTTTTTTTCTTGTTCTTTTTTTTGTTTTGGAAAAGGTAAAGTAATTTTATTCAGCTCAAAAAAACATACAAGCTGGGTTCAGACTTCAGACCCAGAAGGGCAGACTGAAAACCACAGTAGTTACACTCTCCCACCAGGAATTAGAGCAAGAGACAGAAGACAAATTCAGACTTTTGAATTCCTCAGATAGCCCTCTGAATGATATCTTCAGGACTTTTAGCTTTATTACAGAAAATTCTACTATTCATCTCAGCCCAAATGGACCATAAGACAGCAGCAGGAATAGTCCTCCACACCAGGGTCCCTTTCTTGCTTAGGCCTCTCACATTCCAACAACAAAGAAGATCCTTAACTAATCTAGGCATTACCCAACTGAAATCCAGGGCTCTGAGAAAGTGTCCCCAAATCTGATAGGAAAATGGACAATGAATACATAAATGATCTGTCGATTCAGCATGTTGCCCGCAAAGAATACATGAAAGATGCATAACCTGGATGCCCCTCCTCACCACATTAACTCTGGAAAGACATTTGTCAAGGGCCATCGTCCAAATCAGAAAGTTGACTTTTGAAGGACTTATAGGATTCCAGATCTGTGAGAGAATATTGGATATTTGTTCATCCAAAGTTGAGGATAGAAAGAGTTCCATGGTAAGAAATTTTGGTCACACTTAAAATTAGTGGACAAGGATTTATAAAATGTAAATTCTTTTCTTCAAAGAGATACATTTTCCTTCTGCATTGACTGTACTCGCTTTTCCTTTGAATGAAGTTTTCCATTTTATTCATTTTATTACAAAACTTTCAAGCAAACAAGTATTTCTAGAACAAATCCATCCAATTCTAGAATCATAAGAGTATGTAAATTCAGCTACATTGGGTCCTTACATTGGCTACAATGAAATAATTTGAGATATTTGTAGTGCCCAAAAAAGGTTGTTGCATCATGTTCAAAACAATTGTCACATAGAGACCATCAAATTGGCTGGCTGAAATATTGGATTGGTTTTATTGATTCAAAAACGATCCTTTAAACATCCTTTCTCTATTACCAAAAAAAATGTCCTTTTCTCTAGTGAATAACAATGAACTTGTTAATTAGAATCAAGAAAAGTTCGAGAAAAATATCAAAGCAGCAAGGAAAGTGTAAAAGTGAGAAAAAAATTGATCAGTAACAATGACTTTCCATTAGTAGTAGTGAAAGATAATTACACACCAGGACACAACCAGCGCCTGGCCACAAAGAAAAAATTAGAATACTGCCTAACACATCTTATTTCTAGTGACTCCTTGCTTGGCTAAGGGACCTGCAAAGCCATTTGCAGATCTTCTCACCCAAGATAATGAAGATTCTACATGCCAAGAAATACACCCAACCTCCCTCAAGACCTGTCTATGTGTCCACACGCCTAGGCTGCTAGGCTTCCCTTTTGTTTATTGTAGTATGGTTCCATTTGTGATTTTCTTGGGCATTTGGAGGAATAGGAACAGAAAGAGCTTTAATGGGAAGCAGAAAACAATAGAAGAATTATGCATACTTTTAGTCCTTCATTATGGACTTGGCTAATTTCCATACAAGAAAAAATCATTAAAATAAAAATAACATTACAATCACTCTGCTGTCAAGCAGACACCAAAAAGCACTTATCAAAGAAAACTTTCAAAATTACAATCTTGAAGTTCAAGAACATCCCAAAAATTATCTTCTAGATCTGAAGCATTCACTGGCAACTGGCAAATGATATTTGATGTATGTAATTTTTTATGTTTTTTATTTTCTATATCATGGTAGAAGCTTTTAACCATTTCTGTATCATGTCTTCAAAAATTTTTTTTTGATAGGAAACGGTAACATTCATTGATGAAAGTACAAAAATCACCACCCAAAGGATGGTTGGAGAAGCCAAAACAAAATTAGCCTTACAAACAAGCCCAAAACAAAGCCTCCCTATTAACCCCTTGCTTAGCTAAAGTGTCATCCATTCCATTTGCAGACCTTCTTACCCATTTAAATTGCACCCCAATCTCCCTGGCTAAGCTTGCAATTTCTTTTAGTGACTCTCTAAGTGACCACACTCCCAGGTTTCTAGCTTGCATCCACCCTATTACCAGCTTGGAATCTCCTTCCATTTCTAAGTGTGGCATTCCCCATTGTTTTGCCAATCTCAAGCCTTGGAGTAAGGCCTTGACTTCTGCCCTTAAGGAATCTCCCACCCCAATTGGGAACAAGTATAGGGCCAAAATTCTTCCTTCCTCATCTCTGAAAACACCCCCAACTCCCGACAGACCCAGATTACCAAAGGAGCTTCCATCAAAATTTAATTTCATCCTGAACTGAGGCAGTGGGGACCAACTCTCTTGAACTATAGGAGAAGAGGATGAGGATACAGCTATAGAACTCCAACTTATAATTAATTCAACTGAGGAGAAGTCCTTGAATAGTTGCAGAGCTTTCAGCCAATGTAGAATCTTGATGGTAATGCCCTCAACAAGGGCTTCCTTGGATTTTTCTTGCCCATGGAAAATACTTCAAAAATATCATGATATGCTTGTACTGTGTTTTCACTCATTGTCACATTTTGTGATTCTACATCTTTCTACAGTTAGCAAATTGAAGTTTTTAGAAAGAATGAAATAGAACATTATATCAAAAGTAATGTCATCTTGGTTAGTCATTAGAAGCTGAAGATAGAAGGTGTTGTCCCACCACCAAAAAAACACAAAAAAAAGTAACATTAATCCAAGTTGTATGATGACCCACACCCCCCAAAAAAAATCTTTGAAAAAAATTGGTTTCCTAAATCACACAATCTCCCCTTTAATTTTCCATATATGAATGTACGAAACAAATCATATTCCTCTCCATTCAATAGTTCACGTAGGGAAAAGAGAAAACAATGCATGGTAAAACTTAAAGCCTACCTATTCACATATATTCCATCAGAAAACAAGCAACATCAAAACATGGCCATGCAACCATAAATAAAAAGAAAGCAAATTTGCACTAGGAAGTTAGTGTGTCATTTGCTGCATCCTCATATTAGTTGGTACATAAGACTGGTATTCTACATACATTATTTCCAAAATAAACAAATACAGGGATGACCTAAAACAGTTAAGAATTGTACCGGTGCAGGCTCATCTTCATCCTCCCAAGAATCCTTCACATCATCTTCTTCTACATCTTCATCATCCCATAAATTTTTGGGTTGCTCCTTTTTAAGAACAGGTGGAACTGGCTCATCCTCTGTAACAATCCAGGTGTCATTGATAAATTTAGTGGTTGCTTAAGCTATCTAAACAACATCCAATGAAAAGAGTTAAAAAGTTGTAGGAAAAACAAAACGGCTCACTATTTTGAAAGCATACAAGGTAAAATTCAAAGTTCAAAATCCTAGAAAAAAGTCATCAATTTCATCCCTAAATATTGTGGGTCCCTTTGGTTGAGATGCTAGATTGCTAGGTACTATTTTCATTTCTAAACAAGTACATACAGTAGGGGCATCATTGAGGAAATTTTCCTTCTAGCATAAGTGATGTTCACCTACCCTCCATTTTGTCCATCCTGCTCTAATTCTATGGGTGACATCCTTTTTAATATCTCCCCTGTTATGAATTATCAAACCAAGTTAATGAAAGATGTCACATTGAGGTATCTCTTGATCACCAAGTCCAATTTTGGCTGTAACTTCATTATTTCCTTTCCTTTTTTATCAATAAATTATTTCCTTTCCTTTTTTTATCAAATTTAGGGTAATCCATATTATTATTAAATATGCATTGTATTTATTCTGTTTCAGTCCAATTTATTTTAAAACTTCTTGTTTCTAAAGCATTTTTACAGTTAAATCCATTTAGTTTCATCAACTAATATCATGTCATCAGCAAACAACAGAAACCAGCAAACCTCCTAAAATCCATGACAAATGCAAATGAACAAACGCTACATGCTGATTTCTGATGGAGCCTAATTATTACGAGAAACTCTGATAACTCTTCCCTAGATGTTTTAATATTTGTTGTTGCACTATCATAAGCGTCCTTAATTAGGTCCACATTCCTATTAGGTACTCCTTTCTTTTTTAAAACCCACCTTATTATCTTCCTAGGGACTGAATACCATGTGAAGATCTCTATGCTTCTCCCAAAACTTTTTATCAATTGCCTCAATAAATATAGCATCTAGGGTTAATCTCCCTAGCATAAGATAAAATTAGTTTTCTTAACATGCACATTTCACGACATAACCTTTGTTCAATCACTCTTTCCCAAAGTTCCATAGTGTGGCTCATAAGTTTAGTCCCATGATAGTTATTACACTTTTCTATTTTGTTTTTAAATATGGGCATCATGGTGCTCTTTCCCCATCCATCAAGAATTTCATTTTCTTTTATTATCTTATTTAATAGTTTAGTTAACAATAATAGGCCCTCATCCATCAAAAAAAACAATAATAGGCCCTCCTCTCCCATACACTTTCAGAATTCAGATATCTATTAATCCTAATTCCTTCTTCATCTTATTAAAACCCTTCTTCACCTCAAAAACTTTACTTCTTTCTAGTAATATCAAGCCTACACCTCTTGAAAACATTCATACCTTGGCTTGAAACTAAAGATCCAGAACAGAAGGCAGTAATAATAGGGCCATAGGGAATAAAATAATCTAGGAAACCATTTCCATACAGTTGCATTTGATTCCCTCCACAAAGGGGATCTTCTCAAGACTAGAAAAAAGAGAATATATCATCCCAACCAAAAAGAAAAGAAAATCATTATCACTTACACATAATCATTATCATCGCTACATCCATGTTACAACCATGACTACTTTCTTTCAGCAGCCTAGAATGATCGATCAAGAAAAAGCTCTCAAGAGACACGAATACATCTCCATGCAAAACATCTTGACCAAAAGCTCCCCCATTCACCAGTGCCTACTTCACATCAAATCCCTTAAATGAAGGCCCAAGGTAGTACTAAATATTCTGATCTTGTAATTTTGAGTACCAATAAACTACGTTTTCCCATGGTACATTTCTTTTATCATATAAAGTATAAATCCAAATGAAAATCACCATTTTTGCATTATGATAATTGGTAAATCCTAAACTTCATAATTTTAGTGAAGTTGAGAATCATATTTTTACCGAACAGCTTCCTTGACATTATAAAAATTTACATTTCTTTTATCATATAAATCCAAATGAAAATCACCATTTTTGCATTATGATAATTGGTAAATCCTAAACTTCATAATTTTAGTGAAGTTGAGAATCATATTTTTACCGAACAGCTTCCTTGACATTATAAAAATTTTTATTTCTGTATATAACCTGAAACTTCAGACCCCACTAATAGTCGCACATAAATCCAACAAACCCTGGTTATTCAGGCCAGTTTTACCCCTTTAAGGTCAAATAGCGACCAAAACAGACAATAATAACCAGAAATAATTACATCAAATTGTGAATGTTTCAAAACCAAGCAGTTACTGATAGTACCAAACCCCATAAGAATACCCATACCCTAGAATCATACAGAAGTTCAATGCAAGATATATGTGCATTTATTATGTAATTTGATAATATACATGTGTGTAAAAGAAATGCGTGAGGGGGCATAAAAGAATAACTGAATAAACAATGAATTGAACAGAATATAAACATTACCCCAGTCCTCCATCTTTCTTGAACTCTTCTGCTATTCGATGCACTGAATGTAAATCAAATTGTGGTTCCTGCATGTGCATAACGACAAATGTGAGAGAAAACTAATTTTAGAAGCTCGTGCCTGTAGTACCTAGGATTTGATGGACGAATAAATCACAGTTATAGCATAATAATCAAGGCAACAAGGTAAGGCAACAGACAACAGATTTTGATAGAGGCAATGTAGCAAACAGGATCTATAACATACCCAAAAGCACTTCTTTTTTTTCGAAAGAGATGCTTAAATGAAAAGGTGCGGAAAATTTCTTCAAATCAACTCTGATACACTGCAAAAGAGGGAAATAATCATAATGCAACTTAACCTAAATTAATCCAATATTCTAAACAACATGAAATACTAAAGAAATCCAATTCTAACAGAAACCCTAATCTAAGAACCAGATAATTAAATCAAACTATCAGTTGTTACTAAAACCTTACCCCTGTGGCCCTGTCTCAGTCATAACAGAACAGATATGGTTTGCATGAGCAGAAGGGACGGAGCCCCACTGTGTCACTCAGAGAAGAAGGGGAGGAAGATGGGATAGAACCCCCCCCCCTTTTTTTGTCTTTAGTGGAAAACATGGAGGATTGACGGAGTGCCAGGTTCAACTCAGAGCCGCCCCTGTTTGAGTCTCATTGAACAAGAAGAAGAAGAAGGAACTCGAAAATTAGGGCAAGAAGATGGGGTGGAACCCCAGTTGAGAAGGAGGAGGGGCGGGGCGCTCTGACTCATAAAAGAAAGGAAAGAAGATGGGCGGAGACGGAGGAAAAAAAAAAAGAAGGGGAAGAATAAAAAGAAACAGTAAGAAAAACAAGAACAAGGCGGAAAGATACCTGCTTGGCTGGTTCTCTTCTTCGATTATTCACCTTCTCTAGTTCCCTTTGGTCGCCCTCCTCCTCCTTAGATCAATCCCCCTTTAATCGGCTGGTTCAGTCGGCTCTTATTGTTTGTGCTCAAAAGCCGCTGTTGATCGAACCCTAGGACCCGGCTAGCATACGGATACGATAAACACAGAAGACAAAACGGTCCGTAAAAATATATAGAAGCGGGTCTGCTAGTCGGGTCGTTCAGTGAGCCTTCCCTGTACGACCTGGAATACTTCCACCTGCTTCAGATTGGAGCCGGATAGGACCCGTATGTGTTCAACGTGGCAAGTGGTCTTATTCATGAGTTAAATTTATCGCAATTTCCATATGCTTGCCAAGTGCCTATTTTTAACTTTTCTTTTCAGACATATTTTACAACCTTAAAAATTAGAATTTTGAACCACGTGGAAGAAGGTCCCACATGTGGTTGGCAATTTGGATCTGCCACGTTACTCCACGTTGAAAATAGCGGAGTATATCATCTAGTGGCATGGGTGGAGGGTGTTGTATATCTGAATTGTCCATCAAATTGAGAGACCTCTAGATTGGTCTAATAGTGTAAGGATGTCAGGATGAATGTTGGTTTTGTTAAAACCCGAACCCGATAGTGGGACTACCAAACTGAAAATTAGAAATCGATTTGGATTTTTCAATTTGCATCCGATATAAAAGCTGGCAAAGGCCCATGCAACACAAGTGAAACGAAAATATTTTCTAAAAAAAAAATTGTATAGATAAGGGAGGGAGAAAATAGTTTTAGTAAAATCATAGGAATGACAAAGTTGTTTTCACTTGGATAAATTTTTTAAACTACCCTTATGGTTTAGCTAATCGATTAAGTATATCCTTATTATTTGACTATTGTCTAATGCTATCCTTATTATTTATGATAACTGATTAGTTCTACCCTTAATGTTAGCATCCATTAATATTCTATCACAATTCGTACATACATGATGTATATTTTTTTTAAAACTCAATTTTACCCTTATCATCTTCTTCCTTTTAGCAACGACGATAGCTCTCTCCACCTCCAGCCTCTCTCTCTAGACTAGCCTTCATCGAATCTGTCAAACCAGTCTTCTCTCTGTGAAAAGAGGGGAGTGTGATTTATCCTAGAAACACCATCTCCCTCCTCGTTATCCTCCTATACGTAATCCACGACCACTATGGTGATTCGAAGACGAGCAATGCCATGACAGCAATCGACTGAGACCTCTCCTCTTGTAGCGAACGAATAGGGGAGGTGGAGAGGGAGAATTAAGAGGGGAAAGGGTGGAGGAAGAACAGGTGGCGTTGTCCCCACTGTCAAATTAAATGAAGGGCATCCAGGTTGGTGGGGCTTTCATCAATTATGTTACTAGAATATCATTTTCATCGTCATCCAGGTAGAATGGCACCCCATACTGTTCGGCCACGCCCACTCTTCTTGTAAATCTTACAGAGGTAGCATATGGCCCACTCTTCTTGTAAATCTTATAGATAGCATAAGATTCCTGTAACAAAAAGAGGAATAATCAAGATTTAGAAATATAAAAGAAGAAAAACAAGAGCTCCCAACCAAAACAAAAATGCAAACTCAGTGATGTAAAAACCTCAAAGTGTGCTTGGCATTTCTTAAGCTCCTCATCATCCATGGTATATTCGTGCATCACCTAGTCGGTTAGTTGGCCAGTCGGAGCCTGATCCTTCTGGAAAACCAAGAGCTTTTTCATGCCTACAGCCCGAGAGTTCGAAATAATGTAGCACACCTTTCCTGGATTGGATCTCAGACTGCTGTACATTTTGTCCCTACGGGTGAAGAAGTACCACTGTTTATCCCTACATTTTCCAACACCCACCCATTCATTCATTCAATTGAACGGAAGAAACCCAAGGGAAAAAAGTTTTGATTTTGAGCAGCTAAGAAGTAAAAGTTCAAGTTTAAAGTAAGAGGGTCGGTACTAGGCAAATCCTCTAGATCCCACAGTATCGGTTCAGAAATGAAGAGCATCCACAAATCTTCACAAACTCCAGCTTCCAACCATCGTGACCTGTCCTGAACAAATATAGATAACAGATCTGGTAGGTACAGAACCTGAGATGGGATTGTATAGAGGGGAAGTGGAGAGGAAGAACAAAGAAGGGAAGGGGTGGAGGAAGAAGATCACTGTCACTGCCGGAAGTTGCAATGGCGGTGATGATTTTGATCGATGAAGACTAGACTGGACTTTGGTGGTGAAGACCAGACTCACGAAGATGAAGAAGTAGACGAACTTCTAATTTGACTTGGGGGAAAATTAGACATTTCAGCCCTTCCGTCAATATTTTAACGACAACGGTAATTTTCCGAAACAGTAAAGATAATGCTAGACAATAATCAAACAGTAGGGGTATACTTAGTCAATTAGCTAAACCATAAGGGTATAAGGGTAGTTTAAAAAAATTACCATTTTCACGTTATTGCTAACAGGTCAATATATATTTACAAGGGTACACAAATCAAATTACTTGGTTTCGTCTATTCATATTGTCAATCACATATAAATAGTTATTCCAAATCAATTAATATAGAACATAGTTTTCCAATAAGTATAATAATTAGAATGGGTCATGATGTTTGAGTTCGGCTTCGGTCAGGGAAAAGCCCGCTCGAGCAGCCTTTACAGCCTTGCGTTGAGAATATCTCTGTACTTATGCACTTTATTTTATGGAGAGATATTCCCAATGCAAGGTTGAAAAGGTGGTTGGAATGGTGTGGGCATGAGCTTGCCTTGACAAAAGCTGGTCTCATGAAATTCTCGTAGAAAAATGGTAAGGAACTTAGGCTGTGTTTGGTTTGAAGGAAAAAATAGGAAAAGGAAGGGAAAGGCAGGAAAGATTTGTAAAGGTTTCCCTACCTTTCCCTACATTTTCCTTCAAACTAAACATAGCATTAAGGTATATTCCATCCTCTAAATAAATAAATCATGAAGAGATAGGCTAGAAAAATTCTTCATATATGATGGCACAATGTAGAGCTCTTAATGTTATGACTTAGGGGTTCATTAACTCCTCAACCTATTTGTGTTTCTCTTTAATAAGAGATACGCTAGAAAATCCTTGCATTTCTCTCACACCATATACCCCACAAAATTGCTCCGTGTACGCAATGCCACAAAATTCATCATCTTTGTTTTGAACAAATCAGCCACTTCAAGATGTGGTATCCATTCTCTTCCAACCAACGAAAAAAGTGTTATAACTTATGACACCTGTTTTAGCCATATCATCAGGTTTTAATAGGCTCCATGCATCTTTCATGTATTGTCTTGTACATGAAGAACGTGTTTGGGACCTGCACGGTTTAGAATGAAATTTCCTTAGTAGTTTACACCTTTTGACCATTGCTCCATGGATTTTTTATGTGAAATGACAAAGAAAAGATATAATATTATCACATACTTGGGTATTCATCAAATCAAATCAAAAGGATTTTTCACCTAATAAACCTATTGTAATTGTAGAATAAAGAATCTTACTTGCTAATTAATTGTAGAATAATGAATCTTACCTGATAGCTTCACAATACATGAAATAAAATCAGGCCTTAGACCTTGTGAGTGCAAAATATCAAGAAAATGAAAAGAAAAAAATCTATAAATAAGTAAAGAATCAAGGAAAATCCCAAATTAAAAGAGAAATGTAGAACCTGAGTATGAATCTTGAGGGGCAAAGTCACTTAGAGGGAACAGAAAAACATATTTGCTTATCCATATGGAAAGCAAATGCTAGTTTCATTAAAATATAGGATATATTTCTATCAGTCAAGCCTTTGTGGATAGCTAGAAACTACATTTTGGCATCGATAAGACAAGCCAATGTTATTTTCCTTAATATAATAAAAGAAAACAACTTGGAACTTATCCAAGTCGTAATAATTATACATGTAGCATATATGTAACTGTCTCAAAACCTGGAAAAGAAAATTATAAATTCAAATTAAAAAAAAAACAAGGATGAAACTTAAGGAATCAAAATAAACTAAAGTACTTCTATCAAAAAAAATAAACTAAAGTACAAATACCATTGTTGTAACATGGAAAATTAACTACAACATGCAAGCTCAAAGATGCATAATGCACACAAACAAAAGGGTACGAGGTGCCTATCTCCAAGTGTTTTTGTGCGTTGGTATTAATGCCCATGGATGGTTAAATGTCATGATGTATCAATAACTAATGAATAGAAATAGGAAATCTATTGAGTGATGCATAATCATCAATAATTGGACAATATAAGAAAAAAGGTTAAGCCCATCCCAACAAATAAGGTTTTGGATAGTACATTACTTTTGTACCAGAGTAAATTTTATAATATTAAATGGTAGAACCATTTATGTTAGACTAGAGTTGAAATAATCCACACCCAATCAACGGAAAGAGAAGACTGAGAAAAACCAATGGAATTAAATGCACAACAATATTCCAATGCTTCTCCTAACAACAGTAGTAGGTGCAATTATAGTTGTTCAGAGAAAAAATTTAGGGTAAGGAAAAAGAAAAAAAAAAAAATAGATGACTCTTATCAAATATAGCCCCTAAACATAAGATAAAAGGTAGAAAATATGCAAAATGTTATACTATGAGCACTTGTATCGAACTTATTGAATAACTCAGCACAATGGTAAGTCATAGATATAAGGAACATATATGCCACAAATCGACCTGACTACAAACTAAGCCAATATACATAATTAAAGTAAACAATAAAACACAGACTCATCTGTAATCAGTGGCACAAATCAACATACCTATACATAGAGAGGGAAACTAGATATAAGGAACATTAGTGGCACAAATCAACCTGACAACAAACTAAGCCAACATAGCAAACAATAAAATATTGAAGAAAGTCTAGGCCCATACCTGAAATATTTTAAGTTACAGAACCAAAGATCAAAAGCATACAGATCACCCCATGGAGGGGAAAGAATAAGAAATTTTAAGAGAAACAGAGAAACAATAGCACAACGCGCAACAAAAGAACAGAGGGGAAAAGGAAAAAAAAAACAAAGGAATAACAGAGTAAGAAAACCAAGAGAAACAACTAAAGAAGAAAACCACGAAACAACAACTAAAGAAGAATAATTAGTATGTATTATAAATAGATACACGAAAGTACAATTCCATGTGAAGGGAAAGACAATTATAAGATACAATTCCACGAAAGTATAAAAGCCAAATCCAATTATAAGGTACAAAAATCTTCAAAATAATTCAAAGAGGTAGTGGATGGAAAAGGATTACCATGCATTCTGAACTTAAGGAAGCCATGTGAGGGATTCTCCCGTGAGCATGCCATAGAATCAATTGAATACAAAGTTCCGTCGATGGTGTGCAAATGTCAAGCTGAGCATATAAAAAATGAAACTAAAAAACCCTAGGTTTTACCAGAGAGGG